TCGCCTGTTTATCGAACTTGTCATAGAAATGTAACACACGAGAGGTACAATAGAAAGTTTGAAGTTCGGTTTCTCGATTCATGTATCATTAATCTCCCAGAGCAAACATTATGGTACATTCCTCAGAGCAGTTTCATTATTCATTGATATGCCTGGGAGTCAAAAGTGACTGTTCGTTCTTTGTGCATTTTCCCTCCAAAAATAGTACGCAATCTTGCAGAAAGCACAATAATAATTATTATTACAAAAATATTAATAATGTTATAACTTTTAAATAACTATTTCATATTTCTATTTGAACACAAATAAATTTTGCATTACGCTACAAGTCTCCAAGTTTCACCCCTTATTTTCTCCCTAACCTCTTTGCTTTGATTGATGTTATTTTAATTCATCAAGGGAAATCGGAACAAATTCAGAGGAAGTCAAAGAGAAACGAGCGTCTAATCATCGAATCAGAAAGAACCCGCGGTTGGAACCTGAAGCAGTTCATTAGTATTTTACTCACACCAAACAGGGGAAGGGCGAAAAATCCATCCATCCATACAGAACGGGTCACGCCCGTCACAGAGAATTCACCAGGCAATCCGTCAGGAAAGAGGGGAAGCAAGCCCTGTGGGGGTAGGGGTGGGGGCGAGCGTATCGACTCTATCCGAGTCGTCTCGAGATGACGAAGGCGTCCTGTTTGGGCGACGAGGCAAGCGGGTGGCATGGAGGGTGCGCTGGTTTGAAAGGAGGTGACAGGAACACCGTGGGACCCAAGTGACAGCCCGCGGTTGGCGTCAAGGGGCCGTGTCGAACGGGATGGTGACGTGTTTCCGGTTGCTAAAGAGCTACCCATGACTGGAGGGAAAGCAGATGTTTCGTTGGACCAATAGAGGTACGATTATGTCGAGAAATGTGTGGTTTAAAATGTAACTAAATAAAAATTGATATCGATTTTAATATTTATTGCGTTGTTTTCTATTGTTTGGTTATTACTCTATTATTTTTACACATGTTGCATTAGACTACCTAATTAATGTTAGAAAATAGATTTAATAGATTTTGATGTTTCACAGGGTCAACATTTTTGACAAATTCGTTGTGTCTTTTACGTAACACATGTCTTTGGCTCTTTTTGGTCATTAAAGTTATAAACATTGGAGTAATTCACCGTTAAGTTATTTGTTGTTTGTTTCGAAACATTGCAGTCAGTCAATGTCTTTTACCCGTTAGACCAGGGGCTCAGCTACCTCAGTTCTGATTGATGCCACGACTGGAATCAAGAACAGTGCCTACAGTACACGTAGCATATTAACAACTCCGACAGTTGTCTCACCACGTGATGTTGTGTATGTGACCTGCTCTGAAGCAATGGGCCTGCTAGGATTTATTTACTTTTGCACAGCCACGGTTCAGCGTTCCCTCTCATCTGATTCACTAAGTCGCGGAGGCGATAAGATTAGGCTCTGGCGAAGGTTATGAACATATCAAGACGTGTGATCGCCTGTCGGTAATTGTTAATGTGTGAGGTTTGATGTATTTGTCATGCAGGTGGTGCTATGTGCTTAGTAATGTGACAACTGTGCATCGAACTATCAGAGTCGCTTATAAGCTGCTGGTACTATAGAACATCTCGGTCTACAAAACTTTAGTTGCGAATAGTAACCGGATACTCTTTCGATTCAAATGTCGTTTGTTTTTCATCAATTATAATCGAGCGTTGAGAGCTTATTTGATTCCTATCTCCTCCGCTCCGATGTTGCATCGTTGTTGGGCGTCCTTCCCCCCCCCCCCCCGCCGCCCCCTGCTCTGTATGTGCCCCCCGCGCCATCTGGGTGTTTGGCGTGGAGCTCCGACGCACGCCCGCCTCCCTTGCCCCATGCGCCCTTTGCTTCTCCCCCTCTTCGAGCCATCGCACGCCCTTGGCTTCCTCTCTTCGGGCGCGCGTCGCAGCCCTCACCTTCCGCCCGAACCACCCTTCCGCCGCCCGCCCGCCCACGCCCTTTCGGATGACAGCCCCTGCCCCGCCTGCCCCGCCCCCGTCTCGCGCCAGTCTTGGGTCTCGGGTTGATTATTACGCGCCGGCTGCGGGAGCTCAGAGGCACCACCGTTGCCTCGGCAGCATCGTTGACCGCAGGTGAGGGTTTCGATTGCTGCTTTCCGGGCAGCGTCGCTGCCGTAGCAACTGATTATGTCAGTCATCTCAGCACATCGTTCGTTGAAGGACCAGAGTTCGATTCCCGACGTGGCGGATTTTCCACCTTAACTAGATAACTAGGGCCAATTCAGTCGCTTTTTGAAGGAGAATACTAGCGGCCGGCTGCTCTCATTGGTAGTTTTCCGTGGTTTCTCTATCCTCTTTCTGCCTAACTATCCGTCGAGCCTTCTCTCGGTCCAACCCTACATACTGCGTTTACCCGCTCGAAATTCCATCCACATATTTATCTGTTTGCTCATTCATCTTTTGTCGCATTGAAGTTCGGAAATTAGTGGTGCTAAAACTGCATGTACTCCCCCCCCCCGCATTTTTACGCAAAACTACGCAGACGATTCTCATATTTCAAAATCTATATTTAAAGAACAGATTTCATTAAGGGACAATTTCTCCATCTTTAATATTTTTGTTGTAGGATGACTCCAGGAAAATTTTAAACGTTTGAAACTTTCGAAAAATCTGTGTATTCAACAAACATGAGATCTGCACCATTCTCTTAAACGTCCTTCACATTATCCAACGGCATAATTTAATCAAAAACCAAAAAGCCATTTTTTTGAAAATTTGGAAAATGTCTCGGGGGCTACATGTAAAGTACCCCATGAAATTGAAATGTTGGTTTTAAATTCAGGGAGCCAAGACATCAGCCAGATCGAATGAGGAATATCAATTTTGGAGAAAATCAGCGGAACGGTTTAACCGCTAGCTTTGTTCACCAACGGACAGAAATTTTGCCTTCATTCGATTTTCCTCCCTACTCCGCAGGGAGAAAGTAAAAACGTTTATTGAAAGAAGTATACGTTGTTTTTCTGTCACATATTCACATCAGTACATTATTGTTTCTAGACGATCTTCAAACAATTAACCATTTAAATGAAACGATTTTACAGATTTGCGCCAAATTCATTACACGAAATTAGTCGCTTCTAACAGCGTATGTTTGTCTCTCTTCGTGCTAGGCGGTGCCATGTGCACGGTCGGGCAGGCTGGGCCGGACGTGGGGGAGGGGGGAATGACGTCAGGGGCTCAGGTGTCGGCGGCGGCGGCCGCGGTCGCCCGGAAAATTACCCAGAGACCCTCGCGGCGACGCTCGGAAGAGTCGGGGCTTCCCCTGCGGGACGCCCGCGCCCCCACGTGTCACCAGTATCGATATTGGCGCCTCCGCGCCCTCGAAATTCGATCGCGAGAGTTTTCCGGAGCACACGCGTCTGCCCGAGGGGAGGAGGTCGGTGGCGGACTTGAAGGTCTGCGATGGCCGGGAGGTAATTAATATGTGAATGGGTGCGCAGAAGGATCGGAGGAACTCGGGGTTAAAGTTTGAGGTGGCAAGCCAAAAATCAGAAAAATAAAAATTATGCTCACTGAATGATTCCAAAGTCGTATGTCTTTATCGTTATAATAATTATTTCTACAATTACTATTATTACAATTACTATTATCATTATTGTTGTAATTATTATTATTGTTATTATAGTGCGCCAGTTAAGTGTCTTCACAGTGGCACTAGTGATTGGTGAGAGTGCTAGCAATAGAAATTATGTTGGTAGCCCGAACTGCAGCTTGCAAGAAATGAAATCATAAATTGCATACTCAACCCAATCATAACAGATGCTGGAAGTTTAGTCCCCTTCACTTGATCTGGTTGCGATGAACAGAAAGACAATTTTTAATAGAAGGCCCAAAATCAGCTTGGCGCGGAGAGAATTTCGGGGCGGAGTGTATAATTATTGCATTTAAGAACGCACGTTCCTCCAGCCGCCGTCACAGTTAGTTATCATCCGCTGGCATTTCGACGCTCGAAACATCGAAAGGAAGCGAACTCTCAAGACCTGACGAGTGCTGTATTCCCTGTGCAGAACAATCATTTGAGCTGAACTGCCAATGCTAAAGGGGGAAACACTGACTTCTGTAAACTGCCTTCGCAAAGGAAACACATTCGTTCTGACGGCACGTTGTTAATTTGGTGTCCCACGAAAAGCTTGCAGATGGTTTTGTGGATTGTTAAAGGGACTTCCTTAAACATTCATTATACAGTTTTATTGTCATAATTAGCATGTATTGTATCTTTCTAATTATTAGATGATAGTGTTAAAGAATGAAAATGTATTAATAGAAATTGTTCAACAGTAAAGATCTTTATATTGGGTGGAGACAATAGTCCCTCCTTTTCACCTTCGTTATACCAATGCGCGGAAGAAAAGAAATGAGTAAACAGAAATAATAAAACTCGTTACATTAGTAGTGTTTAATTGAATATGAATTGTATTATTTGTACAGCAAGAGTTGTATTATTTGTACAGGTTACTGGTATATAAAACACACACGTGTGCGTTGAGCGAAATGAGACAAACTGTTCGTTGCTGCTCTACCATGTGACATACTACTAGGTGCCTGTAAAGACGCATATGGTGTGCCCGAAAACTAGCAACGTTGGTTCCACAAAACGTATTTTATTATTTATTAAGTAATCGAATATATACATTACTAAATAACATATATTAAAAAATTGCAAATAGCTGCGTTGCGAAAAATATCAACATTTTATTGCCAAGACGCATTCTTCCATTAATGCAATCAATCAACGTACTCTAGGGATCTTTAGCCAAATATATCACATGCTACAAAATTTCGTCCGTGACATTCCAAGGGAGGAAGGAGATCCGCAGCGAGTAAAACTGGTCCAGAGATCGAGAATTGTGTCATCCATTTGGCTAACTGCTACACTGCGGACGCCAACTTGGCTCCATTCAACTCTTTCTTCTTTCTGTCGGCTGCCCGCAAAACCACCACATCCCCACACCACCTCGTTCCCACATCCCCACAACTTGAAAGCATCGCGCAAACAAATATCGTTGGTTGCGTCTAGTAAGTGAACTATAACGGGGATATATCTATAAGTAAAAAAAATATAAATTGTTTTGTTTCTTTATTTCGTTCCCATATGGTCCAAAATTGCAAGAAAGTATTAAAAGAATTACAACTCAAGGTAGTGAACCTATCGAACGTACATAAAATACGTATTTTAATAGAAATATATTAATGTACGAACACATACGAGTATACAATAATATGTAATGGGTTTAATAATATTAATATAATAATATTTTGAGTCGATATTGTGATGCACTTTTCCTATTTGAAGAATCCTAAAGTTTTGTTTCTGAATGTTATTTCTAGAGGAGTAAAGTCATGGAAAGGAATGCAACTTAAAACTTTCTAAGGAAACATCCTTGACTGAAAATCACCAAGTACTCCGACGCAAATTGCTTCCCCTATAACCTATCCTAGGCCTCGTAACGATTGTTTTTATTCATCCCATTCTTTAATGAGTATCCCTGCCTTTCATACCACCATTACTCCATCATAATCTTCGTTTCATTCTCCCCTATCCCCCTACTCTCCCCCTAGTGTACTTCTTCCGTCCCAGGGTAGGCCAAAAGGCGTTGATATAAGAATCAGAATTCAGTAGTTGAAGACTATTTCTGATTGCGCTTGATTTGGAAAACCAGGATTAGGATACTAAAGAGAAGACACGCACCAAATTGAATTCGAATATTCTTGAATATTCTCCACATTTGCCTGTTATGTTTAGTTAAGAATCAAAATTCAGTAGTTGAAGAGAATTTCTGGTTGGCCTTGACTGCGACTACGATGATTATGATAAACCGCACCTAACGTAAATTTATTCTTGAATGTTCTCCACATCAGCCCGTTCTCTGCTATTAAGAATCACAATACTGATTGCCGTTGAACGCGTATACGATGATACTAAAGAGAAAACATACACCAAATTAAATTTGTTGTTGAATATTCTCCACATGAGTCCGTTGTGTGCAGTTTGTGCGGACATCTGAGAGTTTAACTCTTTCCGTGTGCGGTTTCTGCAAGAGAGGGCCACCTGTAGCGACGGGAGCAGAAGCGGCGGCGGCTCATTGATCATTTTTGGTATTTGAAATCAGTGAGTATAACTCTCTATCAATCGAAGTTTTTAGTACTGATATGTACAAACTAAAGCGCACTTCCACACTTTGCGATCTCAACAAATTACTTTTTGAGTTGAAACTGAAAGTGTTCAACTAGTGTAACTGATTTTTGACGCTATCTTCTCGCCAAGGCGGAAATTGACAATATATTCTTGAATAGAGAGGGAAATCAATTACATTGACAAATAAATATATTCCAAAACTTTAATAAACATATAATTTTAGATATTTTGTCATCTGTCGTACATAGATGTGAAACTAAAGAATTCGCAAGTATACAGTGTAAGTATTGCATATTGGATGTGTTTTGGCATTTGCGCCTACGCCGAGCCGTCGAAGAAATTGTATAATCTGTTTGACAGATTGTATGAGTTAATATCACTTCATCTGATAATGATGTTTTTTTTCTGAGAAGACATGATAATCAATGAGTGAGTGACATGTTGGTCTTGTTCGTAAGCAAGTGTATACGCGTATTCATTTTATTTCGATTGTGACTTTTGGTGGGGCGGTATAGTTCTGTTCTGTAGTAAGGCAAAAATCATAGTTAAGCTGGGAAAATGTACGTCTCGTTAATACGAAATGTGCAAAGAAAGAATTCGGCGTTTTCAACAACGCTGCATAAAGCAATTTTCGGTGTAAATATACTAAGTAATTGTTCGAACTGTGACATCAAATTAAATATATGTCATTTGAAGCGGCGGGCAGCCTCTAAGTACGCCGGCAAGAAAAGGTCATATTGTGATGATACAAAAGTTCACATTGATGACAAACACTTATATGCTTACTTGTTTTTTCTTATTCATCGATGATGTTTTAACTCTTGCCAATGGATGCATGGGCATAATTACTATTTGGGACAGCTATAGTTGCAGTTTAGGGGGGGGAGTAGCTTTCAAGACATTGAGCGCATCTCAGCCTCGAATCGAGTCGTCGCCAAGCTATAAGATGAGGTATCTTGGGGATGACAGACGCAGTAGACAGTGGACTTGAGCGGAAGTGTAAAGCGAGATAACATCGAGTAAGGCGAGCCGATCAGAGAATGTCTATGAAACCCCCCCAGTGAGCATTCTCCAGATGTTATTTGCGAACCACTGTCCGAGCATATTGACTTGGAAATCGGACCTCTCCCACGGCACTTACGCGAGTCAGGCTCGTCGTACTAGTCTGCCTGTCTCTGCGGCAAGTGGCGATGAAGCAGACGCGCCGATGGCATTCGGAGCACAACCTGCTCAATAGTTTTACAATTGAGGACTGAATCAGACCTCGGAAATTTAAGATTTTCTCGTGAAATTAAAGAAGTTTCACAAATCTTGGAAACTCAGAATCGAGTGAAAATTGATGGATTATATAGGTACAATATAACAATACTATAGTGTAACATCTTTTGGTTTCTTACTCCAAACGCGTGCTATTATAATTATTATTATTATTATTATTATTATTATTATTATTATTAATATGTACAAGGAGCTCCTTTTATTTATTTCTTTCAAAAACATTATATTTTCTGCAGAGAAAGCAAATGACGAGAGAAGTCGAAACTTTATAAATCTAATACCATGTCACGTTGCCTACCAGCTCGATAAACTCAACACCCCTATCGTTGGAATCAGTACAGCACAGGGTTAACTTCACCCATCACTAACTCTCCACCGCACAACTTTATCCCTTAAGGTCTTCTTTCACTCTCCAGCTCATGTCAGCGGCCGGCTCGCCAGTTCCGGCAAGTTCCCCGCTGTGCAATATCTCACGGGTACCGATGCCCACCCCCATCTACCCTCCTGAGTCCGGAGAACCAACGTCGAACTGTACCAGCAAAACCATCCACCCACACCCCGCCGCGCCGCCCACGTCCTTTGTTAAAACATACGTGGACACAACGCGGCAGTTTTAAAAAAACAGAGGCCCGCAGTCGCGCGGCAGTCAGACAGCGCTACATTAGGTTAAAGACCCAACTCCACACAACCCCCCCTCTCGAACCACCACACACAACACATCATCACACAGCAATCCACACATGCGCAGAGTGCCTCTACTCCTTCCTCTCTTTGTCCAATACAGCTGCTGACGCGCCAGTTCGGCGCGTGACGACCCTAACACGCTTTTCCTAATTCCATCCTACGCGCCTCTCTCAAATGGATCAGTTATTTTTAATTCGCTCGGACAAGGTAACGTATAACCGAACGGGGCATTCGCCCTCGGCTTCAAAAGCTTAGAAGCGAGCGGGCTGGCGTAGGAAAGACGGGTGAGTGTGGGTAGCGGCTGAACGGGCACGCTGGAACCTGTGTGTGAAGGAGAGAAGGGGGCGGGGCCGCGAGGGTCAGAAGTGTGGGGGCCGGGGAGTGGCGTGGAGAGGGCGAGGCGGGTGATTTTTTTACGTGCGAAGCGAGCGGGTGTTTTGATGGGTGGACCGGCGGGGGGGGTGGGAACGGGGGGAGGTTTGGAGTGAAGGGGGCGGGGGGTGGTGGCACGAAAAGGAGCGGGGTAGAGAG